GGTGTCAAGTAGATGGATCAGCTGAAGGGTCAGGCACATCTCTCAGGTTCTAAAGATACAATTTAAAACTGATTTGTTGCTAAATTGTGTGTTATTTGCAGATAGAATGAATGTTGGTTCATTGTTCATTGTGAGTGCCTTGGTGGCTTTTAAATGCTTGAAGTGTTAAAGCAGCCAATGTATAAAGAAAAACTTTGAAAGACCTTCAGAAAGCCTGAAGAACTATCACTCAAGACCACATTAAGAGGTTACAAGAAAGTCAAAAAAATCAAGAATGACTAAAGACTCTGCACAGCATTTTTTTTCAAAGAAGGCCTCGCATATTTCATCAAGCCAATACTGAACACAACACAAGGCAACTCAATTACAACATATGGCTACATATGGTAGAGGAGTCCGGGTGCAGAACTGGCCAGTACAGACGTTTCTCTATATGAAAACATCTGGCGTCAAATGAAATGGAAAATACTACAAATCAAACCCAGGAATGTCGAGCAACTTTTTGTGATTTCTTTGCTTAAAATGAGCAATTTTTTCAAATTAAGCATGTTATATGTTTTCTATGTTGATGTGTGAATAAAAAATAGGTTTATAAGATCTGCAAGTGAAAATGGGATTTCTGTGGTCTTTAAGCAGTTCACACAACATTCCAAGTTTTCTGGAATCAAGGTTATAGCATGTTGTCATTATAAAGTACTGTATTCAACACATACGTTTGAAATAATAAACAATAATATTTAACTACATGCTACTACATGCAACTTGAATTCATAATTATAAATAGTAGTACAAGCTGGGTGAAGTAGGGCCCTTTACTTTTTTCTATATCCTATTTATCATGTAATTAGAATTCATACAGAGAACTAAGAATTTACCACCGCCTCCTTTAAATGAGGTTACCCTCAGTTTCCCTATACATACAACATATACCCACAGCTTTTGATGTTGTCAATTTAAAAGCCTGAAACGCATTGTGTATTTATCCGTACCCAAAGTATTTTTAAGCAGAAAACTAGCTCAAATGAAGCGAATCAACATGTCGGGGCTCCTCTCATCATCGCCTGTGCTCCACTGTGACTGTCTCTTTAAGAAAATGCACTTGCAGCCATTTTCTGCTCTTTGTGTGGGGTGGATTAGCACCGGGTTGGTACTGGGCGAAACTAGAGCATCAGTCGACATAGAAGACGTGGAAAATAAAGAAAATAAAAACCTAGGAAACATTGGCTCGCCGTCGCAGACCGCGACACGGTCCGCCCGATTTAGTTTGTCGCCGGACGGACATGCAATTTTCAGGTATGTGGCAAAAAGTAGCGATGGATGCAGACGCAGCGAAGAAGATGAACGGGGCTGGTGATGTGCTTTGGGTAGTGATGATGGCTGGAGACTGGAGTGCTGTTTTTCCCCCCTTCTTTTTATTTTGCCTCCTTTAAGCATTTCACATCCTTTCCCTTTACTTATCTGTCCGTGCGCAAATGTAACAATAGGGGGATCCTTGTAAATAGGAGGGACTTGATTGGGATCGAGCGCCCCGCTTTATCGTGGATAATTGTGGCACATGAATGGGATCCCCGTTAGCTTACATCGGCATCGTAGCTCACGCTGAGATGGGTGGGGTGAGGAGAGGGTGCCTGTGTGGCAAGTGCACTGATGAATGATGGAGCACGTAAGGCTCCACGGTTTTCTGAGCTGATAACAACCGTTTCGCTGCACAGACACAGAAAGATGTCGAAAAATAACGTTTTGGTGTTTCAGATTGCTCGATTTCACGACGATGCTCTGGCTTTTTAATTTTTTTCCCCTTAAAGGTCCTCTCCCCTCTTTCCAATCGACTAACAGGCCACAGCACGGCCAGATGCACAGGATTGTTTTACAGCTATCACACCAGCAGGCAGGCAGGGCCGTTACTTGTGCTCAAATGACAGGTTCACCCACTTCCGTCTCAGACAGGCTTAGTCTAAACCCAGATGTTTTTCCTTTCCATTTCTCTCCTACAGACGAACCTGCCAGTTTGGGTAGAAATGTAAGCCTGCCATTGCTGCAGACTCTCTGAGCTGTAAATCTGTATGCCAGACCCTCACCCACAAGCAGTGATGTAATGCTTGAATCTTGATGCTTTGCTTCTGCTTACACTAAGGATTGCAAAATTAAAACCACAATGAAAATGAAACCCGGTGCCATTAATAGTCAGGTAAAATTAGGATTGTTTTTAAAAAAAAAAGAGTCTTCTTTAGGTTTGTGATAGTTTTATGGGGAAACTTCACATTTTTGACTGACTAAAACGAGTGTTTCTTGTTTCTCTGAAAGTGTAATTTGCTAAGATTGATAATAATAATAATTATTGTTGTCAGTAGTAGTAGAAGTAGAAGTAGTAGTATTAATAAGAATAATTTGTTGCAATTCAGGTATTATTGTTAATATTAGCTTGCTAACCTCGCTCATGTGTTAAAACACACACATATGTTAATTTATGATGTTTTTTTTTTAATTTTCATGATTGCACTGTATTCAGTCAAATGGCAAAAAGTATTGTTCATATACACTAAAATATAAATAGATAAATACATAGGTTTATTGTTTGTCTTCTTTGCAAAATCCATATTCATTGCATAAGATAAAGTAATCAATTACTGGCATTAGTAGCATCACTGCTTGATTGACATTTATTTACAGATATACATTCCAATGAACCCAGAGTACCACGGCACTAAAATCTGTTAAGCAAAATGTGTTTACAAAAACTACAACATGCATGTAACATACACATATGTCAACAACGTACATGTAGCGTACATCTAATGTCAACAACTAACAAGTACACGGAATGTCAGCCACATACACGTAACATACACGAAATGTCAACAACATACATATAATGTTGTTCATTTTTCAGGTCAGGTACTTCACCTACATTTATAATTTGTAAAGATTTGACTGGTATTAAAAAAAAGTTCCCAAAAGCTACATAGATGTTAATAATCCTGGTAACATAGACAGTTTACATAGTAAGTTACAGATTCAATTGTGTCTAAGAGGGTTAATACGTACATATGCTACGATCATTATATAAGATAATAATTAGTTGCAACTCAAGTGCTAACATTACTGAAGTGAATTCAAGGTTGGTTTCTACGAAAGTTGGCTTACTGCCACCTGAAGTGAAAAACCATCAAATCATTTACTGTGAAGTCGGTCATGGTCATGTTTGTCATGCTTTAAAATTAGAAGAAAAAACACATCTAAACACCACCACAGCATCCCGCTATTATTGTCACAGAGAGATGTCTGAACTGCTAAGGCTAGTTACCAGCTGTATGCCAGGCTAATGTGGTCTAAACCAGTATAAAGCTAGAAATGGAGCTGTCTAAAACATCCCTGTTTGAACCATCTGCTGAGAATAAATCATGAGTGGTTAAAATTGACTCATAAACTCATCTCATCCCCGTTTCTCCTTT